TCGTACCAGAAGATTAAAATGCGAAAGCCTGTTTAAGCGAGGAACGAATTTGAACTATTTATTGACAGATGGGAATTAACGCGATACCTTTACGCGCGGCAGCTAGAGGTGCACCACCGTGAATGTACTTCGACTTGCGCATGTCGGAAAGTGGGTGGAGAAGCCTTTTTCAGGCTTGAATGAGCCCCCCGTCCCTGTGTTGTATGATTATAATTCATGCGTGTTCGGTTATTCTAGTACTGAAGGTACACGTGCGCCAGCCGTTGAGGTTTTCTCTAATTGCTTTCATGCACTTCACTAATGGCAAGAAATGAGTTGGTAGAGTGCGTTTTATGTTTTTGATGACGGAAAAATTGATGTTGGTAATCGTTCGAATGGAATCATACATTTGCAGGACTGTGTCGAGTTGTTGATCAACCAAAATCATTGTGAAAGAAAGAATTTCATAATTGTAACATTCTGTCACAAGCAAACCTAGGTAACTCTTCAGTTTTTTTTTTGTCACGCACACGCATTTAACATATAATTAAAAAATTGTAGTTCGAGGCCAAATTGATATTTTAATAATCTAAACATAGAAATAAATGTCTACATTGACAAACTAATGATATTAAAATCAGTAGCTATTAGATCTCTATCGTTCTGTATGATTACTTCTCATATTGAGTGCTTTGTTTATTTTTAGGACATTTTTTGAAATCTCAAATTTGAAGATGTCGATATGGGGTACAATTGATCAACTACTCAAATTACTTTTAAGTAAATTTCTAGTAACTAAATTTGGGTTCCCTGAGCCCGAATCAGATGCTGACATCCTCGGATGAAGTGTATTTTCAGCAGAAATCACAAAAAACAGATTTCTTAAAATTAATAGTAGCGCCTCAATATATGCGATTTCTTTAAAATCAATTTGAATTTCACAGAAAACCATTGATTTCTCTTCATTACTGAGAAATCAATGGTTTTCTGTGAAATACATGTGAAAAACATGTAACCATAATTTATCAAATAATTCAGATTCATAGACACTTAGTTTAATGAAAAAATCCTTTTTCAATAAAACAGCGAAAGGATTATCTTCGATTTAATTCCACTTAATTAATTTTGGTATCCATGACCGATACGAATTTCGACTACAATGTGCAATCTTCATCTGTGTCATTCCTACTAAATACTTATCAAAAACCTAACTCCCTTAAGTACTCATCCGCTAGGTAAAAATGTCAAGATCACAGGTATAAAAATGAAACTACAATGTGTAGAATCGGAACCTCCCTAACTAATAATAACCAAAGGTTTAAGTAAAGTAAAGTTGAAAAATCTATTCAAATATCCAATAAAGAAAAAATCCCAAAGGCTTGGTTGCCATCATAATGAAGTAATGAAATTGGGTTGTTAGCGGAATGCTTAAAAAAAAACAGTGAAAAAGGTTATCTTCCATTTAATTCCACTTAATTAATTTTGGCATCCATGACAGATACGTATTTTGACTACAATGTGCAGTCTTCATCAGTGTCATTAATGATAAGTCTTTAGTGGGAATGACACTGATGAAGTCTACACATTGTAGTCGAAATACGTATCTGTCATCGATACCAAAATTGAATAAGTGGAATTAAATGGAAGGTAACCTTTCTCGCTGTTCTATTTAAGCATTCCGCTAACAACCCAATTTCATTACTTCATTAATGACAACAATCTTTGCAACCCTATGATCGTTTGCAAGGTGGCCAGCGAACCAGGAAACCCGGGAAATAATCGGGAATTTGCAAAGTAACTGGGACAACCCCGGGAATTCGATACGAGTACCGAGAAAAATCAATCAACAAATATACGGTCTCTAAATTATAGTTTCAGGGTCTACTGCCTTGCAAAACCTCGATAAACCTGGAAAACTGGAAATTCTCAGGAAATTTTATTGAACATATATTCTGAAACTTGAATTGTTTTTTAGTGTTCTGAATCATGAATGATTTCTTCAGATTTTAAACCTGGACCTAATAAAATCAGACTTGAAGAAATTGTCTAGAATCTGGATGGAAAATAGTTTTTAAAGGTCCCACGTCTATTTTCGTTCCAGATTCTAGAAAATTTCTCCAAGCCTGATTTTATTAGGTCCAGGGTTTAAAACATTTGCCTTCGTTTAAAACCCGAAGAAATTATTCAATGTTTTCCAAGAAACCAGATTAAAAAGTCTTGCAAAAGTTTCTCAGCTTATGGACTTGAATGAATTAATTTGATTAGAATTTCCAAGGAACTCCAGAGATAATGTCAAGCAAATTTAGAGGAGAACTCCAAGGGAAGAATGGTGATAAATTTGCTCCCGAATTGCGGTACATACAGTATGATTAATGTTTGATTCAAAGCAGCGTTGGTGTTATATATGTTTAACGTTACTGAGCAATTTATGCATGCTAACTCGAATTCTGCAAATAGCTCGTGAGACGTCGTTCTTCTTCTTATTTAGCAGTGGCGTCGCGTCCACATGTGCAACCTGTGCACGACACAGGTGTGAATAATTAAAAAAATGCGTTTAGATTTTTTATAGATTTTATGGTCACATTATTGCTGTACTACTTTACTCAACCATGAATACACTATTTTATAGTGTGGCTCAATTAAATCTTCGACCTTGATTTGCTTCAAAAAGGTTCTGATGGTCTGCCTAATCCCTAATGCATTGATTTCTAAGCATATCGATAACACTACCATGACAAAACTCGTTAAATAGTGCACCTAAAAGCGAGTTTTTTTGGGTGGCGAGTGACAAGTTTGTGAATGGTCAATGCCTGATGTAAGCCAAGCAGAGCTTCTATCACCTCTTGAAACATACCACAAATTTTCCACAGTACAAGGCGGTTTGCACCACTAGTTGTAATTGAAACTTTCAGCAGTCACGCGTCAAACGGGAGCAACACGGAAACAGCAGTCTGGTACGCTTTGGACGTTATCATACTTGCAGACCAGTTTGAATGTGTGAGTTTAAATTAGAAGAACATTTGTGATGTATGGGTGCCCAAAGTGTGCATTTCTAGCTGTGCACTTGGATATCTGATTGCAGGCAAAGAGAGTAATGGAGAAAGAGAGCGCAAAAACTCGCTTTTACTCTCTTGTCAGTTGTAAATCTCTCAATTACCGATGCGCCTGTGAAAACGTATGAGTTTCCCCTGGTTCATTCTGATAGTGTTGTTCTGATTAATAAAGAGTTGATTAATTCAAGAATGCTACCCAGGGGACGTCATGAGTTTTCTCTAGATTTTGACACTGTTTTGTATCAAAAAATGTTTTCGGAAGTGTTTGACGGATATTCTTCATTACACTTCAGTCGAAATATTATAGGCTTTTCGAATGTTACGTTAGCTAGTGATTAATATAGTAATTGAGAATATGTCCCTCGAATTCATGAAGCATTGAAAAATATACAAAAACTAATATGCGGTGGTAAGCTATAACGAACAAAGTTTGGTGCACAGGTAAACAAATGAGGCACGCGACGCCTCTGTTATTTAGCTTTGTAACGTGCTGACTGGGACTATACGCCGCCCCTCAACTTAGTGTTCTTTGAGCACTTCCACAGTTGTTAATTGAGAGCTTTCTAAGGATGTACCATTAGTATAATTTATGTGGCCAGCACAATGATACTTTGTGCCCAGGGAAGACGAGAAATCTGTCAACCCAAATAATTTCTAGACCGAGTTGGGAATTGAACCCAGTCGCTTTCATCATGGTCTTGCTTTATTTACGTCTGTTTTCCTGTGATATTGTCAAGTGTTTATAAGAAAATAATGTTGTTTCATTTCCATCTTAAATCATAAAGCTACAACCATAGGGACAGATTTTACTTACTCAATAAGATGTGAATAAAGTTAACGACATAACGTTCCTGCATCGGGTGTCATGGTGCAAACGTGTACAGTACACTCACTAACTGAGTGAAGTGTCCTCATTTTACGATCCGCTCTGTGGAGGCACGCCAAGTCCCAATATAGATGGAAGCAGTGCAATTAGTGCTTCGTCAGTGAAGAGTAAAATTGAATTCAATTTTCCATTTAATTGCGGCTTCAGGCAGCAAGCAGAGGTCTAGTGCAGATTTGGTCTAAGTTGGAATTTCTGTACAAAAACTTGTCGTCATTGTTCAAAATGATGAACTTGGGTGACGGTAGCTTTTCTCGGTCTGCAGTCCTACCCCAGTCAATTGCAAGATCTTAATGTTGACTAAAGAGTCATCCGCTTCAATCAACAATTTTAGCAGTTTCTGTTCTTGGCTGCTCGTGACCTACCGCACACCCCTCATTAAAATTTCGATCATTTGTAACACTTGTTAACTTCAAAAAATTAAATTTAAAATCTAAAAGTGACAAGAATTCTCGATTCAAAGATCATTCACACTTTACATCGAAACGCTGACGCTGATAGACGTTTGAATTAATTTTCGTCTCTGCCACATTCTCCGATTTCCAGCGTCACCATCAGTCCATGGAAAACTCATTGAATTGACCATCGGAGTAATTTATTTTCTGCACTTCTGCTGTGGGAAAAACTACTACTGTCGCGCTGGAATGTGTCTTGATGGCAAATCAACCAACCAGCCAACCAATCTACCGACGACAACGACAACGTGAAAAGCATGTTGTCACATTTTGTTATAAATTTTTCGCACGTTCAAACCATGGATTATCGGATCCAATTTGCATTCCATGCTGCAACGAGTGCGCCCGACAATAATGACAACGACAACGATGGTTGGATTATTAATTATAACGCAGTGCAAATTGTGACATCACGTTTCACGTTTTCCAATCAAATTATCAGCGGCTTCCTTTTTTCCGCTGTGAACACGAAGAGCAATCGATGCCCATCTGCTATATGTATCCCAATGCTATCGTTGTACTTGAGTGATTTGATGAAAATGAATCGCTCTTTGTTTCATGCTCCAGGAGTACAGAGAAAGATCACGAGGACTAACCATGTTCTTCCTTGTTCTGCTTTTCTTCCTACAGGGCCGTCACAGATCCCCGCGATGGACGACGGGTCGCACTGAAGAAACTGCCAAACGTGTTCCAGTCGTTGGTGTCATCGAAACGTGTTTTCCGCGAGCTCAAGATGTTGTGTTTTTTCAAGCACGATAATGTAAGTATTTTTCAGTTCATCTATATATATACAGAGACCTTCCTATGTAAACATGTTTGAAAAATGCTCTACGTCAGAATATTTTAAAATCAACCGATTTAATTAAGCAGCACCGATTTAGTAAGCCTCCAAACTAACTTTTGGTGAAGAAAAGTCTGATGTACCTGATGAAAGTTGATTCATCCTTGTACCGTTAGATCGGGATTTGAATTTTGATCCTCGGCCCAGTTTCCATGAGATCTAATAAAAGCCAAAAATAAAGCCAAATAAAAAAATACGAAAATTTATGCATTTGCAAATTCGTCTGGAATCGCTCCTGTGCAAAATTACTAAAAATTTCAAGTTTAAATTTTCAAAAAGACTTCACTTATCTAAACAACTTTGTTGCAATTAATTGAAAAACGCCAAAGATGCCATTTTGAATAAATTGACTGATTTTTGGAACACAATTACGCTAATCTGAGAAGGTCGATTTAAAATTTTTATTTTTGTATCCTATTTGGCCTGGAACTAGTACCATTGTAAAATAGAAAGTTTAATGCGATTATTATCCCTATCAATCTTAAAATGTCTGTGTTTTCACTGAAGGTGCACTTGAGATGTGATGTGATGTGAATGGAACCCACCATCAGTGCAAGGATTACCAATGTCTGCTGATACTTTACCGGTTATAAAGTTCTGCCTGATGGTTTGTTGCAGCAGGGTGAAACAGCTTCATTGAAGACCTTTGGAAGACAAAACGACCAGATGGCCATCTGTAATCACGTGACAAGGGACTGGAAAATCCACGAACCCTCGTTCAGTCAACAAATCCTTTGATTTCCTTAGGCCCACGGGCTAGACTGATTCCGCCTGAAATTTTAAGTATTCGCTTAGGAGCCTTCACTATTGAATGGTCCAGCGAGGTGGTTTATATCGGGCTTACCTTGGACAACAAGTTGATCTTCAAGTTTCATGTTCATAGCTTGCTGTCTTCAAGTAAATCATCCAGCCAGTGATTGAATACGAGCTCGCCGTTTATGCTCATAAAATGAAACACGAAATGATGTCAAACAAAATCTTACTATCTTAAGAGGATCTTATGCGTATCTCCCTGTACCGTAGCCAATGATGTTCGGCTGAACTAGAAACCATTGAAACTAGGTTGCAATTCATTGCTTTGTCTTTTCACTCGAAAGTCTCTCAATCTGAGCATGTCATCATTTTGTTATGCAAGCTTTCCCGACTAAGGGCGTCTGAGTAACTTAGGTCGTGGTTACATTCCTACTTGACTGGACGAACTCTTCGAGTACGACTAGGATCTTGTGTCTCTTCTACGTTTACCAGTACCTCTGGAGTACCTCAGGGAAGTAACCTGGGTCTACTTTTGTTTACGTTATTCTTAAACGATGTAGCAGCTTTGTTGGGAGTTGAATGCAAGCTCGTGTATACAGATGATCTTAAGCTATACGTCATAGTTCACTCGATTGAGGATTGTCATCGTCTTCAAGCTCTGTTAGATTTGTTTGTGGATTGGTGCCGTCGCAATAAGCTCATCATCAGCGTTCCAACGTGTGCAGGAATGACGTTTCACCGTTCTAAGAGTTCAATCCTTTACGACTACTGCGTTGACAATGTAACGCTTCGCAGAGTAGAACGTATGACTGATCTTGGTGTTATTTTGGATCCAAAGTTGACCTTCAATCTTCACTATTTCTCGATCATCTCTAAGGCAAATCGCCAACTGGGATTTATTTCGAAGATTTCACGAGATTTCAAAGACCCTCACTGCTTGAAGGCAATACATACTTGAGAATGCATCAGTGGTCTGGTCTCCATATGAGCTAGTGTGGAATCTCCGAATAGAACGTGTTCAGAAAAGATTTTTTAGGATGGCTTTGCGCAGCCTGTCGTGGCGCGATCCAATGAATTTACCACCTTATGCAGACCGATGCATGCTATTGGACCTGGACACATTGGAACACAGAAGAAAAATGCAACAAGCCTTATTTGTAGCGAAACTTTTAAATGGCGATGTGGACTGCCCTCAACTGCTTTCACAATTAAACTTCCGTGTTCCGCAAAGGATGTTGCGGCAAACATCCTTACTACAACCCAGATTCCATCGGACTGTATATGGATACCATGCGCCAATGTCTGCGATGATTTGGGCTTTCTCCGCTGTGGAAGAAGCATTTGAATTCGGAGAAACATCGAACCAATTTCGAAACCGATTGAGAAGATTGTGATTATTTTTGTAATCTGTTTATCTGTTGCTTTTTTGTGTATTATCTAGGTTTTATTCATTCAGGCAACTACTGTCAGATGATTTTTTTAAATAAATAAATAAATAAATTCCAAATCCCTCAGTCAACTAGATTGTGTACCCATAAAATCCTTGAAAAAACCGTTAAAATACCATCAGCGACTCCTCCCTCAAATGTACATACACCTTAAAATAACATTCTGTACATAGTGAGTTAGCTAGTTTTACGTTAGTTTTAAGCTAATCTTAAGATTATACACAAACAAATTGTTAGCAAGTTCACATAAATTTCAAAGAAACACAAATGTAAAAAACCTAGAACAATCAAAGATTACAGATGAACAGTAAGTAGGCTAATCACTTTTAATGTAACAAGGGGAAGTGGGATAATACGCGCCACACGGTATTATGACCAACAGCGTTGGTTTTTGTCTTTTTCAACACTAAATTAGTCTAATTCAAAAGTTTTAGAAACCTTAAAGAAGTTTCGAGAAACTCAGTGAATTTCCGAAAAGCAGCAAAGCTCCGAGAGAATTCCTGGAAATTTTATGAACATCCGGAAAACGTGAGAGTATTTTAAGGGTGTTATATCATGGAGATTTCAAGAACTTAAAAAAATGCGCAAATTTAGCTAAGTTGATTAGAGAACATCAACGTTCATCAGTTCCATTATTAAAAAAGCGAGAACTTTTAGCAAGCATCAATATCTTCAATTTAGATATTTTTAGATAGTTTAATGATATTCAGCGAAGTTCGAGGACGATCAGATAGCTTCAAAATAATCCAATTAACTTAAACAAATTTGCAGCAACAAGGAGTTCCGTGGAATTATAGGGTATTCATGTATCAGAAAATTTGCTGGATTATTAAACAAATTGAACTTCAGGTAAACATAGACAAGTTCAGGGAAAATCGAGTGTTAATAATGGTTATACTACTTAAGGAACATTTTCGAAACTACAAGGCAAATAATTAATTTCAGTAAAGTTGCGGGTTCTTAAAAAATACTGACAAATTCAGGGAAGTCTAGAAAACTTTAAACAAATTCAGTAATCGTTTAGGAACCATGAAAGTCTAGACTATAGTAGAAGTTTTAAATTAGTGTCGGTAATTTAAGGGAAGTTTTATGAAGATCCGAAAAATCTTGAGAAATTCAGTGAAAATCATAGAATTATATTAATTATTCCGTTCTAATTCCATGAAAATTGCGGGAGCACAAAAGTTCCATAAATTTAGACAAACTTCGGAAACTTCAAAAATAATTATTTATTTATTTTTAAATTTATTTCTTACTGAAGATTAATCTACTTTAAAGCTCAATGTGTGAATGAAAATAATGAGAAAAATTAAATGGTTGCATTTTAAAATTCATTATTTTCTTTAAATTATCCTTAGCAAGATTTTTTTTAATTCTTTGAGATTTCCAGGTATTTTAAGAAAACACAAAAATTCCTGAGGGTTCCCGGTTTTCCAGATTTTTGAAGCTAGTATCGTGGGTTTGGTTATAAACTTTCTATTGAATCTTTCGCTTTAAGTTCATATCGTACATAAGTATCTATGGGATAATAATTGAATAAGTCTAAAACATCAAACATTTATTTGATTCGCCTTAGGTCACTTTTTAGTCACTATTTTTACAACTATAAGTCACTATTTGGTCACTTATTTATTCAACATGGTCACTAAAAATCACTATTTCTGACAGCAGTGATCGCTACCAGCCCTGAGTTTGTGAAGTATTTGCTTAGGATCATTCCAAAAAGTCTTCAGCATTACTTTTACTTTCTGGATTCCCCTCATTAATATTATGATTCTGTTCGGTATTCCCTACAAATTTTCTCGATAACAGCCTCGGGATTCTGTACAGAACAGAAATTCCATCCAGAAAAATACTGAAATTCACTTTTCATTTATCTTCGCTTTTTTAATAATTCTCGCGAGTATTTGTTAAACTTCTCACCATGATTTTCTTTAGAATTCACTTGGTATACACCTCTTTATGTCTCTTGTTATGTCATTTAGAAAAATTTCCTTGGATTTCACCACAGAATTGAACAATGCCCTAGAGTAGATCTCTTGGAATTTTCTTGGAATTCTCTTGAAACTCTTCGTAGTATTCCCTAGGGAATTTCTTTCGATTCTCTTGAAGCACTACTCTTAGTTTCATTGGAAATATGCTCAAAATTTCTTGCTAAACCCTCCCGAAAATTCCTTGATATTCCCTCAAAATTCTCATAAGAATTATCTTGAAAGTGGGTTTGAAACTAGCAAGAAATTCAGCAAAGAATTATTATCCATATATCCTTGCAGCTTTCCTCAAAATTTCTCGATTGTTTGATTGATCAACACAACAAGAGATATTCAGGTGTAGGTGATCATTAGACGTAGCTTCAGGATTGTAGTCATATAGGGTAGTTTTACCAGTTATTGGTATACGTCCGTATTATGGTGTGTTCCAACTATGGTCTATGGAAATTCCATAGGCCATAATTTTTTTTTTAATAATTACTCTATTTGTACAGGCTCAATCGAATAAACTTTACAGAGCCGAGTTATATATAGGCCATAAATGGAACACACAATAATAGTTTGCAAAGTTCAAGAATGTGACAAGCTGACCTAGACTCTTAATCATAATAATTTTGTCATGCAATCTTCAAACAAAACTTCAATCCGAGACTATTCAGTCAAGTGCCTTTCCAATAATTTACATCGTACTTAGATACATTTGAAAATTCTGAGACTTTTAACACTC